GCTTGCAGGACAGCGGAAACATGAATCATTTTGGGTCGGGTCCTACTTTCCACACACAAGAGCAAAGATCAAGACTTGGCAATACATTGTGTTTCATATGCAGTTAACCTAAATGTAGTGTTCTGAGGAGCCCAAAAAAAATGAGCCGGGCATTGATCACCCACGCTTTTAAGCCAGCAGCCGGTTCTCCTCATAAATAACTTGCTGCAAGGTGCAATCGGCGGTGCCACAGGGAGACCCGAATTTCGTTGTTTGGAACTTCCATCAAGAAGGGGTGAACAATCACGTAGCCGTTTACCTCGAGTCAGAATCAAACCTGCTCAAGGAGTCCAATGTCAACAGTGTTGCTCCGAAACGCCTGGCAAGAGTAGAACAATGGAGGTCGAAAAGATCATCATATCACCAACTTGATGTTTGGTCATCCTTTAAAGTCCTCCAACCCACCCCACAGCATATGGTTGCCATGGGCATCCTTGCTTGGTGCACCGTCCGACTGCTTTGGTGACTATGGCCATACTGAGGGTGGAATGTCTCAAAGTGTCGGTTGCAAACCTAATATTTGGCCTACAATTAAAATATCTAACATGGGTGCGTGCTTCTTTGAGGATACCCTTTCCAGGTTGGTTGATATCTTTGGGAATCCCTCCACACCCAACCAATATGGGTATGGGTCAAGTTAAACCCCCAGAGGACCGCGGGTTTCAGTCGATGCGTCTATGTACCGGGGCTTCATTTTGGGTACCTTTTTTTTGACCCCCAGCAACGAGGGTGTGAATTTCAGATCCATCTGAGACCTGCGATGCCCCTGAAGCCGCCCAAATCCAGGCCCACCCCCCTCGCTCCTGCGGGAGGAAGCGCTCAGCTGATTGAAATGGAGTTGGCAATCGGGAGGGCCGAAAGAGATACGTGCCTCGGGCGCTGGCCCCAGGGAACTCGAGGGCTCTTAAGGATATGCAGGGTGCATCCTTAAAGGCACATCCCAAAAGTCTTGGGATGCGGGCACGATTTGGACATTTCTGTGGGACAATTTGCTTTGAAGTACTTGGTTTACAAAGGATGTGGAACGCGCAAGCAAACGCTGATTGCTCCCCCCATCAATTCAGCAGGCTATGAATGTTGGGCTTCCCAAAAACATGGAACCCAAAAAGCGCGTCGCCCAAAGCAAAGGAGACTTCAAAGCATGATGTTGTGTTAAATCCACGTGAATCTGCAGGAATGCACCCGCCAGGAAAATGAACCATGCTTCTCACCCGATCACCATTTCGGCCAATTTAGCGTGAGCGTGAGTATTTGGGTAAGTTGACGTCTCACTGGGCAAAAAGATATGGGCAGCCCTGGCTTCCCTTCGAAGCGCGCATTCCCAACAGGGGTGCCCACTACCCGTCTCACGCCCAACCGCCGAGATGCAGGCGTGACAGGACAGCGGAAGGCTGGCGTCGCCCCCCCACACACGCAGCAGCCGCGAGTGGAGCAGATTCGCGGACCAGCGGCACACGGCGAGAATCCTCGGGTCGAATCAGACCCAAGCGGATTGGAGTGTCTTTTTCTGAAGTAACCTTCTTTTGTTCAGTTTGTTTTCCAAGAACATTGTCTTCCGAAATATATACATTCTAGAAACTCAGGTAGCGAGCAACAGTCAAATTACATGTTTACCGAAGAGGACATGGGACACCTTTGTTATCTATAACAATCTGAGCGAGCTCCCCCAATAATTTGAGTATGAAATTCAATAATCTAATACTACTAAGCTGAACTAAGAGATTGCAATATGGGGGACCTTCACAGTGGACATCGTTTTCCGAGGTGAGCTAGCTCAGCCACTGTCAATATGCGTTCCCAACTAACATGGGAACTTGGTATGTAACTCCCCGTTGTTCTCATGGTTTGGATTTGTCTTTAAAAAATAGGTAACCCCAGGAATGGTGGTTGTCCGTTTAGAAGGGGAAAGGAGCCCAACTAAGGCCGTGTTAAGTACTGAGTACGAGCTCATGTGGGCTTTCTCCCCCCTGATAAAAGCAAACAGGGGTTTCCCTCAAAAGATACACACCTATTTGGTGCATGTGCCCAACGTCGTCCCCCTGGTGAACCCATTTCCCTTCCTGGGCGCCCGACTCTGCGCCAGAAGACGCAGCGTTCCACGCCATGCCCGGGCCTCGGAAAGCCATCCGATCGTTTCCGGGCTGGGAATCCAATGGCTAGGTCCTCCAGTAGAGAGGATAGAAATAAGGGTACCAACTTTTTTCCGTAGTCTATTTTAGTAGGGGAACGCTCCCCAAAAAAAGGGGAGAGAAGGGCACTACTGCGGGACCGAGATGGGAATTGAGGTTCCCTTTTGATGGTTCCGAATTTGTATTTTGACACATACCTGGGCTGTCTGTTTTCAGATCCCCTGCGAAAAGTGAATATGTTTTAGTGGGTCAAATGGAAACTACCACCAAACCCTGAAAACCGAAAAACCTAAGGGGATGGTTGGGAACCACCAAGGATGGAGGTTCCCACTGTTTGTCACACTATGTGTCCCCTAAAATGGCAACGGTCTCCCTCTGGTTGCCCTGAATACCAATCAGAAGGGGACCACAAAGAGAAACACCCAAATGAGTCGTAATCAAAACCTGGTAAGGGGTCCGTCCATGACCCCAAGCGAAAGGGTATTGGTCATGGTCAAAACCACTTTGTTAATCGTGGGTTCACTGGGGGTAAACTTGAGTCAGAATCAAAACCCGGCTTTAAAGTGGTTTGCAAAGCATCCCAAAGGGCGGATGTCCGCACCTCATCATTGGGACTGTGCTAAGCTCCACTGGGGTTTGATTGTATGTCAAGCGACTGGCCTGAAACTATTCAAACTTTTTGGGCCTTTGCTGTTCAGCATCAACCGGGGAGTTGCAATGGCTATTCTTGTCATGGACGCAAAAGGAGATTCCTTTAAGTTCAGCTTTTGGGTTCCATGTGAATCTGGATAGGGGTACTGAAGTGATGAAGCCATCTACCCACAGCAAGTCTAAAGTTCGCCAACTCAAGAACAAGGCGATCCCTTCAATCTTCCCGTGCAAATTCGGAGCCTCCTCAGCACCGGAAAACAAAGCTAGCTGGTTGATGGGCATCCCTTTAGGCGCTGGAGTAAAGTTGGGGCGGTCCGAGTCCAAGTCCATCTACCACAGGTGAGCCTTCCCGTGGAAACCACAAAACCGTTCGGTGGGCAACGCTTTCGTCTACAGAAACATCAACTCATATTCCTTGGGAAGCTTTTGGGATGGCCGGGTGCTCGGGGAATGCGGGTTCTTCGCAAAGAGGCAAGCATTGAAGATGGTAGGTTTTTGTTGGTTCTCTCCTTCAAACTAATTACATGAGGGGTGTCTAATTTGATAAACCATTGATTCACTCCCCTGTAGACTGACATGGAAACCAACAAACGTGTCCCCGAGATTCCGATAAAAACAACTCCTCTTTGCTGGGTTCCGCATTCATCAGGAGTGAGCGCAGTTAGATACGGCTACTGGCATGGGCCGCCAAACTCCCGGCAAATACATACATACATACATATATATATATATATGAAATACATATACAACGTGTGGTTTCCCTTTAAATCTACCCGCCAAGGAGGTACCCTCCAATAAAAAACACATACCCACATGAGTCATGGTCGATACTATTTTGTGTTCCCAACTAACATGGGAATTTCGTGAATAACCCGCATTTGCTAATGGCCATTTGGTGAGTATGACCCCATGTCATCCCCCTTACTACCGTAGACGACGGCTAATATTGAGACTGGGACCCAGGAGAAATCGGGGTACAAACCGCGTGGTTGTATATCCACCAAACCCCCGGAGGGGGGGGGGGGGAAGTGGAAACAATCTTAGAATTCCCCCTTGTAACACTACGTTGTAGTTCATATGTATGACTCCCCTCTGTTCTAAGACATTGAGAACTGCAAAGGATATCTTTAATCCATGTCGATCTTTGATCTGTGCCAATGGTCGCTTTCAGGTCCTACTTACACACCCGAACTGGTTCTTTCTGAGCCCAAGCCCTGGAACAAAGAAGTTCAACTTGTTTCATGTCAAAGTTGTAAAAGTTCTGTTGGCATAGGTGGCCTTTTGGAAAAATAGATGGCCCTGGTCAATGGAACAAGCCCCATTTAAACCCGTACCATCTATGTTTTTCCAAACTCACCTAAACATGACACCTATGTTTGTTGGTCTCAGCCAGCCTTGGGTTTCTGTTGGGTTTCCAACTCGGGCTTCCAGGCCCAGCCTGCTTCCGATGTCTAAGGCTGCCGCCCGCTCTCTGCTCTCTCGCCCACGGCCCCACGAGCCAACGCTGGCGGATTTTCGGCGCAAGGTCGGAATCAAGCAGTTAAAAACGCGAGAAGCAGACTTGCACGGGTTTACATGGCAGGCTTAGTTTGGTTTTACATGGCTTTGCATTGGTTTACATAGGCGTTTACATGGTTTACGTGGGGGGGTACATGCTTTACGGGTTTACATGGTTACATCTGGACAAATCATATGATTCGCGAACCGTACATATCAGTACAACATGGACAACCCTTTGTGGCTGCTCTTTGAAGGGGAAACCAAGGTGAAAGCCCTAATCACAAAACACGCTTTCCTGGTTTCCTGTTGTAGCAAATATCCACAAGTTTACCGATTCCCCGGTTTGCTCAAAAATGCAGACACGCTTGTTGGTTGTTCTACCCTCACAAGAAGGGAGCCTCTTCGTGTGTAGGCAAAAAGAGAGTCACAAGGAAGACACCAGGCTCCTAGGTGTCCTTTCGCGGGGTACCGGCAAAAGCAGCGCCTTTTGGGCGTGTCTTTCTTTGGGTGACCCCGAATGGCTTCGGCTTTCCTTTTGGCTTTCCATTTAACACAAACGAAATCGGCACCCTCCAAAAAGGACACACGAATCTCCGAACCAAACTGACGTAAAGAGGACGCCTATTTGACGCTCACGGAGAGCGCGGCCAAAGTCAGCGAAGTGAACGGAACCCGAAGCGCCTGGAGGAGTTGCCCGGGGAGCAGTCCACCAAGTTCAGGAGCCCCGGGCCCAACTGCGAGCCGACGGACAGGGCACTTGGGATCACCGTGGGCTGTTCCCGTATTCCGATTGGGTCTTGAGCCAAGTCCGTGAGGCATCTGCTTTTGCCAACTCATCACGAACGAGCAAGATGCTTCACAATCTAACGAGCGTTTCGAGCCAAGATTTGTCAGCGGAATCCATCTATGTGCAATTCTGGCAATGGACCCGAAACCTGAAAAAGGCATTGAAACCCCCAAGTGAAGAACCTTCATCATGGTGACCTCCAAATGAGCTCGCTACGATCTGCTCAATTTTGGCCCATGAGGAGAAACTCCGGGCGCCACGCAAAAAGGTGGGTGATGTTCTGTGGCGAAACTTGAATCCTCCCCTTATTCGTGCTTACTCCTTTATTCCGAAATCAACAAGCCTAGCAGAGGCCACAAGCAAAGACAATTGCATGAGTTTCTCAGATTCCCTTTGCTTGGTGGTTTGTGTTCAAGAGTTTGTCCTCCATGAAACCAGGGTGTTTTCTGTGCCCAGACTGCCAAGTCTCTGAACCGTTTTTGTGGTAACCGACAGTTCGACTTTTTGAGCCCCACAGGGGAAGTAAGAACTTATGACCAAGAGCGGCTCGGAACTTTGCTGGGCAAACTGAGAGATTCCGAAAGCGACTCGGAAGCTTACCTTGTGCTGAACTTGAAGTGGATATCCAACACTTGGGATACTCTGTCCTGACGCCCACAAGGAATACTGGTTTGTATTCCCATTTACCATCTACAGGAAGCAGGAGCTTCAAATCCCCAAACCACCAAGGGATACCAGAGTTTCTACTTTTGACCAACCTCCTCTCCGGGGAGCAACGCTCGACGCCAAGTGCCCATAGGAGCCATAGGTCCCCCAAAAGGACCTGGGAGAAAAAGCAGTGAGCCCCCTCGCTTTTGTCGGAAACTCAGGGCTCATTGGCCCATGCCCCAATGCGAAACGACACACCCCCACTGTTGATAGACTGCTTGCAATCCTCAAATTACTCGGGTGTTGATTGCGGCTCAAATTTAAATGGACCATAGACTAGCCCAAATCTTTTCCAAAATGGGGGGCGGTCCTTAACATTGTCAGTTTTCTTTTGTCTCCTTTTAAGTACCAACCATAAGGGGCTCCACTTAATACCTTTTAAATCAATATCGGTTCAGATGTTTCAATATTAATATTACTATTAGACTATTATTATTCAAGAAGCCCCTAATCGCACACTAGGCTATAAAAACGCAAAGGCCAAGACATGATGAGGCTCATATAGACCATACTAGAACCCCCATGAAGGCGACGCGATAAAACCAGCTGCCAGCTATGGCTTGGTCCTTTGCCTGGACGGGCACGCTGAACTCCAGGGCCAAGATGGCCCCTCTGGGCGCGTACCTGGCAGTACGGGCCCAACATGACGGAGTCGGGACCCTGAGCTCGAGGCACGAGTCATACTCAAACCCATCGGTATGGTGCACCCCGAAAAAGGAAGAAACAACGTAAGAAGGCGGCTGCACCTATTTCTGGTTGGGCCTATCCCTTACTAACCTTCATCTACCCTGGTTTTGACTGCGGCTCGCATGAGTTACAACTATGCTTTCCATCCCATGAACTTAATGGAGTAAGAGACTTTTGTCAGGGGTCACTCTACCGCGCTTATCAGACTGTGAGGTCCATCCCAGGAGCCTAGAGCAAGCCAGGCGTAATAGATTGCGGCGAGGCCATGGGCCAAGCCATCGTCGTTCAACTCGGTCGATTGGCAATTGGGGTTTCCTATGGCTTAAACATGAGCTGTATACAGAACATTGGTTTAAAAATGGGGGTTCACTACCCTCTAGATTTCACAATGGAAGTGGACACCTAGTGGCCTGTTCAAGAGGGCTGTCTTCCGAAAGTGGGTAACCCCGAATAACCGACCCCTTACTGCCACTCTTGGCCCACATCTGGAGTAAACAGAAACCAATGTTCTTTCATGCTTGGAATACCCTAAATAAAAAAATAGTGTTGGAGGAGACCCCACTTGTCAGTCAGTTTGTGATCAAAAGCTGCCATCTTCAACCAGCAATTGTTCGGCCTGGCCCCTTCATTTTTTCAAGCGGGACGATACTCGTTCATACTATGAAAGCCCAGCTAAGAGAACAAAGTATTGAGGTAGTTTTAAACCATACTAATTTATGCGAATACCACTCATGGCAGGGCGTTGGTGACACAAGGCCACCTTCACATTCTCCAGCTGTTCATATTACTTGCTGATCAAAGGGGCCGCAATGAAATCAATCCATGTCCTCTGATCGTGACAACCAACCGATGATGCGTTTGGTCCAACCCACCACTCACCCGGGGGCCACGAAAATTCAGGGCCCAAGGATGTTTTCCCGGTCATAATCACATAATCTAGCAATTCTCCCCCGCCAAAAGGCTGGTAGTAAGACAGGTGCTGGGCGAAATGCCTAAGACCCGTTCAAAGATGCAAAGGCCCCTCCCCACTTTGCGACTTCCTTCCATCGACTACCATTGGTCACCAGCACTAGAAACGGGAGCACCACATGGGCTTCGGAGCCAGGGCGAAGGTGTCGAGACGCCTCGCGTCACTGGGCCTCGGGCCGCGGGGTGGAAAGCAGGAACATCGCACGTGGGTTTGTCTCAAAATTGAGAGACCCGCAAAATGGTTGGTGTCCTGTTTCCTTTTGGCTTGTCTTTAAATCCAACATGGGGTTAGGTTTGATGGGTATAGGCAAAGTTGTCCCAAGACGCAGCCAAAAGAGCCGAGGGTCGAGGCATGTGAGGCGAATGCTGATAGGCAACCCAACGGACGCCGATGCCCTCTTGAAATAAATGATTGCCTTCAGATCAAACCAAAACCAGACACGGCCGCAATATCCCTGAACAAAATTCCTTCGCATGCCCGTAGTTGGCCAGTCGCCCCACATGCCCATAAAAGCTGGCAAGGGGGTTGCTTGTACAAACAAGCCGGTCTTCCATGGTGCTTCCATTCCACGTTAGTGGGAGGGCATTCCCTCGCAAGTGTCCGACATCTGTCCAAAATGTGCCTTCTCCAACATGAAACAAGTCCCCATGACTACTTGATCACTGTCAAAGGGGATTCCCTTGGGATCACGTCCCACACGGCTTGTCTCGTGGCAACCATGCGACAAGCCGTGTGGGACGTGATCCCAAGGCCAACCCTAAAACCCGATTCCTCCCAACCGTCTTTGGATCGGTCTCACAACGAGGTAATTACCTCCTTTTGGAATCCTTTTGGATGTTTCAAAGGGAAACATTGTGGCAAGATGTGGCAAGCTAAAGCCCCGCCCATGTGCCACTTGCATCTCCCTCAGCCCCTTGTTGCGCCTGAGGCTTTTCCAACTGGGCACCCGGCTCCATAAGTGCAGGTGTCAGGCTCAGGATGTGGGGAAACATGATGTGCCTGTCCTTGGCAGAACGGCCCCAATGTACTAGTTGTTTCACACGGCGAGTTCTGACTGGCGTCGACGCTCAATAATTTCAAGGGCGGAACCACTGGCGTTGTCACTTGCTCTTCCATGAAGACCCTCCCTTTTGGGCAGCCAGATACCAAACCTGGGAAAAGAAGGGTTTGCACAGGAGCGATCTGCTGTTTGATTGTGAACACGAGCCAGTGTGCAGCCACTATTATCGATTGAACAACCCCCATGTTGAGCCATGGCTAGCTTGTTTCAAGGAGTCCACCCAAAACCCAAAAATAACAAAAGGGCCAGGTATTGGTTTCGCGTTGGCTCGAGTGTCCTTTCTTATGGTACCTTGGCTGGTAAAGAAACACAATCCCCACAAGCAGAAAAACCTCGAGAGGACTCCTTTCCCGAACCTTTATCTGCCCACTAGCAAAGAAAACGTGAGGGAAGGGCTGCTTTATTAGGGGAACGCCGCCCTCTTTCACATACTTGGGGGTAGGTTGGCCCATCCCGGATCCTCCCATCCGTTGCTCAAAGCTAGCGTCACAATTGGCGGCTCCGCGGTGCACCGATCAATTGTGAACTAGGTCCTCCAGTAGAGAGGTTAGAATAAGGGTACCCTGTTTTCTGTAGTCTATTTTTAGTAGGGGAACCCTCCCCCAAAAAAGGGCAAAAGGACCTAGTGATCAATTAGGGTTCGCCCCTCTGGTTTGTATAGGGAATTTAGTGAGTCCCACCCATGTCCCGCATCGCCAGGACCTTCATGCGGCACAAAATCGCTTGTTGATCCCCTGGTTCCCCACGCTCCTGTTAACTCCAAGCTCGTACCAATTCATCTATGCGCGGATCAGTAAGCTTGCAAGCGAAGCGCAAAATCTATGCCGGGTTCGAGGATGTACTTTCATCCCATGATTTTGGCCCCTTACATCCTCCGGTATAACGATTTCCCAACCACAAGTGACCTTCTGCAAAATAGATGGCCCTGGTAAATCGAAAAGCAATCTCAGTCAGGGAAGCCCAGCTTCCGATCAAACCAACCGGGACACGCCATCGCCCCACTCGGGCCGACTTCCGTCCGGGCGTCGATGACTCTGAAAGCCGGCGCGGGGTTTCTGGGGCCCGCCTTCACCAGGCCGCCCTCCTGCGAAATCCCTCCATTTACTTAAGCCCAATAGAACAAAAAAAACAATATACTTTTCAGTAGTGATAGATTCCCCTTAAAACCAACAGGGAAAAATAAAATAGATTCTGAAGCAAATGGAAGATTCTCGTGGCCGTATCCGCAGTAGCCGAGACTGAAACCCAGTGTGTGTTTGCCCATTTGGTTGAGGGAACATTGTGGAAAGTGGCTGGTGGAAAAAGCCATTATTCTTGGCAAATCTGAGCTCACAGAGCTATATAATATGTGTTGAATCTGGTTCATATTTAGTCAACCCTAAGATATCAAATGTTTTTGGAGGAGACGTTAGTATGAGTCAGGGTTGACATCATACAAAACAAGCTGGGGCACTTGGAGTACGTAGAAGAGAAAGCCGCGTCCAGAGTTGGTCGAAGAAGGTATGATGTGTGTGTGTGTGTGTGTACGCGTTCAGTTTGGATTGTAGTTGCGTGAAATGTGATTAGTTGTGTTGCGGCGTCCTTTTCGTCAGAACAGTCCAACCCTCTGTCCATGGTTGTGAAAAACAACTCTTTCCGCGAGACCGAAGTGGGATTCCCATCATCCCCTTTGCTAACTTTGTCACTTTAGACAGAAAGTGGCAACCTCAACCCCCCCTCATTTTTCGACAACAATGGTTCTGCCAGGGCAAAGGTTGGTTGAAGAATCCGGTCGCACATCCGCAGAATATGAAATGGGGACGGGTGTCCCCCCTGCAATTCCAGGGCGATTTGTTTTCGAAAGTTGGAACCACCTCAAAAGTGATTGGTGGACATGAATCCCAACCTAAATGATGACCACCAAAGGGTCCTCAAGTAAATGTCATACCTTTGTAAGGACTGGATGAAGGGAATTAGCAAACCCCTACCCCCATCCTTTTGGCCGAACTGGCAACACCAAGTGGGCGAGGACCCGGAGCACGGTTTGAGTAAGGGCATCCTTTTGGGTGATAGGGAAACCAGAAGGAACGCCGCTGCGACTGCAGGGGGTTCCAGGGTTGGGGCAAAGCTAACCTCCCACCACAATAAGAGAAGAATGCCATGCCTCTGCATCAGCATTGGATTTGCCTTGCATGAAGCCTCCAGTAATTGAAAAACCGAAAACACACCTTTTGAAGGGGCCAAAAGGTTCTGGAGGATCACCCAACCTACTCCCCACAATAAAGGATCCTGCTGTTTGCTCTGTTGAACACGTTTATAGAAATATATAACCCCCCTAACATTCTCTGCATGGATCCGTTCATTGTGCCATTCAATCGGATTCCCTCAGCACAGCCAAGTTCATTTGGGCAAGTTGCAATAGTTCAACACCTTACAGGCTTGTCTTCAAATAGGAAACCGCAATTTCAGGTAGGTGGTATCCCTGTGATCTCCCTTTTTAAACTGTCTCAAACATCATACTTCACGCCCCTGAAACAAGGAACCCCCGCGCAACGGACTCCAAGGACCTGAAGGATCAAAATCATTGCTGCCTTGTTGTTTGTTTGATCGCTTGCAAACACCATATTTTCCAGTCATGACCAGGTCCTCAAAAGCCGACTTGGCGAACATTGAACAAAAAAGCCTCTCCCCTTCAGACTAGTGGGACCTCAAAAAGACACGCTTTGAGGACCAAACGAAAGGCTCTGATTCCTCAGGTCCAATGCGGGTCAAAGGTGTGACATTTGACCCGTAAATGGTCCCAAGAGGAAACAATGGTAGTCTTCCAACAGCCGCCTTCTGATAAGGGCGGTGTGGCACCCGGGAGCCTTCTGGCAAGGGCTAAAAGCGGAAGAAAGCTGGGCCCAATAACGGGAAGTGCCCTTTGATGGATTATAGTGCAACCGCTCCGTTTTGGATTAAAAAAACCCATAGCAATCATCAAACACACCTTGATGACAGGCATGTCCAGCTTACATCCTTCAGGGCCAACCCAGTTCCAACCTTTCTCTTGTAAAGAAAGAACAGTAAGGCCAAAGATTAAAAAGGCAAGTTGAGTCTGGCAATGCCAAACACCCCAACATGGGTAATCTATTGCCTAGATTCATTGCAAAGGCCAAATGGCTCTGTTCTTTTCCCACCCACCCTCGCGTGTTGCACTTGACGTGCCCCAAACAGCCGCAACAACCGAAAGCCAACGCCAAGCAGCGAACTGAAAGCCAAACCGAAAGCCAACGAAAGTCGAGAGTCCTCCCGAAAGGCACCGTGCGTGTAATGGACGCTGTAGGCCCTGCCCCGCATCAAAGCCGGCAACGTGCAGGTGACCTGAAGCGGCCCAGGTCAAAAAAAAAAAAGGAAACGACGCGGGCGGATGGAATTTTCAAGCCTTGGCATGTCAGCAAACAGCACTTGCTCTTTTTGGAGCCGTCTAAAGATGTAGACAGGTGTTAGACCAAACTGTGGCCTCTTTATGTGCTGACCTGTCCTGAACCTAAAAAAACATGTAAAAGCCAGGGTCAAAACAAACGTCCCGGGTGATGTTGCAAGCCAGTCTTGCCCCTGCAGCAAAGCCACGGCCCAAATACACATCCAGACGCAGCCAACACTACCTGCTCACAGCGTAGCTTGCAAACAAAATGCCACGCAATTTCGCAAAGCACAGTCAACTTACCGAGTAGCATGACAACCAGCATTGCAGCCACGTGAGTGCAACATGATGTCTGGTAGAGTCGGCTTTCTAAGCCTCTGTGTTGGGATTTGTATGATCTGCCAGAGTCTAGAGCGTGTGGGAACGTGACCTGTGCTGGCACGGTATTGCGCTCGTGCCCTGCTCTCATCTTGCTAGCGGTAAACAGCAGCCTTCTCCAACACATAATAAGAGGATCAAACATTAGAAGCAGGAATCGTACATGTTAGTAGTTGAGGTTCATAATTTGAATGCCATCGACATCCGATGAAGTGTTCGGGCACACGCCTGCCTGCACTGAGTTGCCAATCAGCAACTTCAGTAACTTGGCAATGCTCATGAGGGAAAATAACAAGGCAAGCTTTCTGGTACATTATACTTACAATGCCGCGGAAATGTTGTGAACTGAACGGTGCAAAAGTGAAAGCAAGGATATCTTGCCAGGACAGTCAGCGGGTGCCCAAAAAAACGGCCGCTACTGCGGGATTGGGGAAGTGCACGGCCTGTTGGGCGAGCCGCCTGGCGCCTGACGAGCTTGCACACTTGATCACGCCCGAAGACGTGAAGCAGTCGCGAGGCTGGGCCACCAGAACTTGAACACTCGCGCGCCTTGCCCGCTGACCACCCTTCGAAACCGCTGGGAACCGTTCGGAACCGTTCAGGTGAGGCAAGGCTGCCCGAGAACGCAGGCAAAGTGCGCGATGAAGATCCAGTTGATCCACTCAGCCAGCCCGTCTCTTTTCAGTGGAGAACCCGCCAAAGAAAACGGCATTCAGAGGGTGCCACGATGCTTCTCCTTTTTTTCTCAGCAGGGTTTTTTCTCAGCAGGGTGATTATTCGGAGAAAGGGGCCCATGATGAAAGAACTTGCATTTTTGTTCGCTGCCCTTCTCACCTTGGTCTAAAGGGGAACCACAAGGAAACCCAACACTTTGGAGGTCCCACAATTTTGACACATACCCAAGTAGCTCTGTTTGGTCTCTTGTGCTTTGACTTAAGCAGTGGTTGGTTGCTTGAATGCTTGGTTGGGAGGGCAGGCGGCCATGCCTGTGACTATTTGTCATTTTGAAGAGATTCCCTGGGTATCAATTCCTTAACCCCAGTAATTATTCCACAACCATGAGTCAAATAAACCAAACTCAAGTGCAGGGCACGTCCGTGGGCGTGTCCGTGCTGAGCGTTGGCTTTGCGACGCTGACCCCGCACGACTTCAAGCGCGAAGCGCCGCTCGCCAGCTCTCGCCACGCCTCGATAGCGAGCATGTCGTGGGCCGTCGGGCCGCACACAGGTAGGGCACGCGGTCCACATCCACGCGCCCAAGCAGACGCTTGCGACGCACAGCAATGCACCGCCTTTTTGTCGAGGGATCCGCGCAAGCCGTGGTATGCGAGCAAGGAACGTGGTTCTTCGTAGGCCCCGCACTAAGAATGAACGGACCCCACACAAATCCAAGCAGACACGTAAAAATATTCAACCAGCACACAGCATGATCCCGGTATCCCAAGAACGCCGAAGGCAACCTCTGACTGGTATAGCACTCGTTCCGCAAGATTTGGCTCTAGGTCCGACCACCACGGCTGCCCAGCTGCCCCAGTTGGCAACCAAGGGCCTTCTTCAGCCAGTTGCTTTGTAGGATGTTCAAAGAAATTCAGTTGGGAGCAAACAACAATATGTCCAATGGGGGGCAACGCACATGGAAGCTGCAAAAAAAGGTTGTTGGGTTCCTGTGACAATTGGATTTCCCTGATCTTCGCTGTTGATGCTGACGCCGGATGGATAAACTACAATATGGATGAATGGATGTGCAGGCAAGGGAAGAATAAACCCCTCCTCAATGGCACGCCGCCCCCGACTAATCGAAGGGCTGATGATGGTTGAGTGATGTTGTCTCCGTGACGGTGGAAACTGGATCCCTCTAAGCCTTTCCCCTAGTTTCCTCAAACAAAGCCGTGAGTTAGGGTCTTGCTTTCTCACTTTCGATTGAGTGGATCGGCCAAGCAACGGAGCGAAACCTGATACCAAAACATGGTCTCCCCAGACGCGTTTCAAGTCCCGGGGGGTGGATCCGGGGAGAGGGGTTTGGCAAAAAACGGAACACCCGCGGAAGGCCACGAGTTCAGGGATGCACTTTCAGAATTAAGTTGGCCCAACTGTACCCCTTGGTGTCTTTACCAAGGTACTCGTTGTACTCGGCCCGTATAGTCCTGTTGATCTTCCCTGTTTCTCTTGACCAGTCTGGGCCAGACCTGGATGTCCAAACAGTGAAGCAGGTAAGCTAAGCCTGTAAAATGGTTCTCCTCTTGCAATGGAAGTGGCCAGGCGGGTTTCGAAGACTACAACCATGCTCTTGAAAAGTAGCTTTGTTCAGATACATTGGGAAAAAGGGTCATGCTCTGCAAACAGCCCAAGCCCGGGATACTTCAAAATACACCCTGGGCCAAGGGCCTCCTACCAACCTCCGGTCCCCGGGCGCCAGGCAGTGGCGTGCCAAATGAAGCAGCTGGAGCTCGGAACGTGGATGGCCTGGGGATCCAACACGGGGCTCGCTATATCTAAAGCATCACCAAGAATGGTGGTTGTCCCTTTAGAAGGGAAAGGAGCCAATTAAGGCCGTATTGAGGGCCTAGTAAGAGCTCATTTGGGCTTTCTCTCCCTGATGGAAGCAACCAGGGGTTTCCCTCAAAAGATGCAGACCTATTCTGGGTCCTCCACTAGGGAGGTTAGAAAAAGGGTGCCCGATGTGTTTGTTTTTCTGTTTGGGAACCCTCCCCCAAAAAAGGGCAAAAGGGCACTACTGGGGGGACCTAGACAGGGCTCACGATATTTAAAACATCACCTAAAGGAAACCCACTTTGCACTTTGCATGCCTGAAACAACTAACAAGGGAACCACACGGGAAACTGCAATAAGTGTCTCGCACTTGGTCCAAGAATAGTTAGTCCAAGCTTCCATCGGAAGCTTAAACGTGGCATAAATGAGGTGGGTGCCATATGTCTGGGAAATCTTTACCGCACACTTCTGGGAGAAGCTCGGATTGGCATTGGGGACGCAGGTATTTTCAAAGTGGCCACAAAAGAGGAAAGGACCGTGAAAGCACAAATCGAGCACAGCACAAGGGGCACAAGACACAAGATAAGACAGCAAAAAAAAGTGACGAACAAAAACACATGCCTTCGCAGTCCATTTGTCATCTGGGAATTCTCATTTGCTACTAGCTCAAGCGAGCGGGCCCCAGCTAGCTTGAATTGACAAATCAAATCGACAAACCAAGGGGTTGATCCACAAAGAGGGCCGCTGCAAGCTGGGATTGCAAGCCCCAATGTGCAAAAGGTCGGTAGACCTTTTGAATTTTGATGGGACGCTTAGTTGGGTGTCTTTTTCAGGGCATCTCCCAAAAATGGTGGTTCTTGGTTTCCCTTCAAAGCCACAAAGCCGGGGTGCCCCCAACAAGACGCATTTCTTTGGTTCCAAAAAGCTCGCGAGTTCACGCCATGCAAACGGGACTAGCGAGGCATGGCCCAGGCCGGAGGCTCAACCTCCGGAAACCCGAGGCATGGCCCGGCGTTTTTCTTGTCTCGGGACTCGGCGCCGCGAAAAAACTGGAACCCGGCGTCCTGTTCTCGGGTGAGCAACCTCTTGGATCGAGATCCACGGGAGCTTAATACCCCCTCCACCCAAAAAAAGAAAGAAACAAAGGGTGAACACCGCCAAAAACGCCGTGGGTTTCGACTGGCACCATCATGAAGCAAAAACGGAAATTCGAAAGAACTCTAGTAGAACACATTCAGCAAATCAACATGAGTCTGGGCCTTTCACACCTGAACGCCCACTTCCCACCAATCCTAACCATCTGCTAAGCTGGAAAACAAAGTCTTCCTTTAAGGCCATCCGAAGTGCAATTGGGGCTCCCAATTTTTACGTCGCACCACTTCCCTACCCGGAGGTCTCTTCAAACAGCTTCGGTGGGACCTGTGCGCTGGGGGCTAACAAACCTGCGGGTTGCGCGCCACCCGCAACCTTCAGCCAAGGAGCCCCTGGGCTGTCCGGGTCAAAGGGCAAGGGCCTCGGCACGGACGGTAGTGGATGGATTGGTAAGTTGGTTGGTGCGTGGCTGGGTTGGTGGGTTGGTGGGTTGGCGGGTGGTGGGTTGGTGGGTTCGTTCGTTCGTTCCTTCGTTTGTTGCTTCCTTGATTGCTTGCTTGCTTGCTGCTTTGCTTGATTTCTTTCTTTGCTTGCTTGATAGGCTGCAATGCTGGCAGGTTGTTTGGCTGCTTGGTCGCTTGGTTCGCTGGTCGCAAATTGGTTTGACACAGTGTTCCAACTGACCCGCGGAGTTGACTGGCCAAAATTCTGAGTTAGCTCTGTTGGCCCCACAAAATCATTACACCATCCACCAAGCCAATACATCTGAGTTTGCCGACACAACGGATAAGTTGACAAAGGAGGCCTGCTTTGGACACCAGACCTTAGGATGAGCGTAATGCTGATTAAGGATCGCGCAAGGTCGGCTGGCCCATTCTTACAAGTCCAGGTGCTTTCGAAACCAAACAAGACACATGTCCTATTTTCATTTGGGCTGAATGCGTGTTTCTTATTCTGATTTGCTTTTGAATGGGGGAAGTATCAGCAGCCACTCTTCAGATGGGCTTGACCCACATTGGAACCGGTCAAAGCAGTTCACCGCAGCCTGGACCTGCTTGGACCACTCCAAATGCTCTCGATTCGCTTCATGGCCCAGTGCTTCTTGAGGTAACCACGGGAAACCATATGAAACTATATATAAATTTAAAGTTTAAGAGACGGGCTGTCTCATCTGTCTCTGAAAATCGTATTAAGACGTTGACGACCAGCATCGCCAACCCGTAATAGAGGTTTCCTTTGTACATGGCAATATGGATTCCATCCTTTCAGCCTCCGGGCTTCCTACAGTTGACCCTGAAAGGTTCCAGCGACCGTCCAAAGGCCAACAGTTCTCCCGTTCTACCAGCATGGTTGTACTCCGCGGCAGATTCAGATGGAACCCAAACAAGCCTCAACCTTGAGAAAAAGCCTAGAAGACGGGTATGCACTCCTCCAGATTAATTCAGAACCCACTTCACCTTGACCGCCGAACCCACCGCTTTTAGAGGAAACTTCAGTGGGGCGCTCATCTGGTGGGGCTCTATGTCAACTGTCCACCATGGAACCATGGAAGTGCACAAAAAGGTTCGCAAATGCGCACCAAAAAGTTCGGCGCAATTCCGCGTGTGGTCTCAACATTTCTGCCCGGAACCCGCGGTGGGGGTCCAGTTTTCAGCTGAAAGCCGCGCATTTCCCCTCGGGTGTGGACTCCTAGCGCCATTTACCTAGTCTTCGACCCCCTGCAAACGCTTAAACACGTTGTTGGATAGTCGAGAAGCAGAGAAGGTCAAAGGTCAAAGCCAACAAACTTGGGGCCAAGCGATGTCGAACGCCTTCCGAAATACGCAGCTCCCAAACCCCGTTGCCCAGTGAAACAACGAAATAGAACATAATTGGTCTCCACACGTAAACAAAATCTTACATGCTCAAACACGACTGCGGGTCAGAAAGGATGCATAAAACAAACATGGGCTGTAAGCAATGCCGCTTTTCCAGAGGACGCTCCGTGTCTCGCTATCTGAGTAGATTGACCAAACTAAGTCAATACTGTTGATTGAACTCGTCCAAACCCAAAACCCAAAACGGCCAGGACCTCAGGGACTGAGTTTTGGGGCGCGAATCGCCTGACTTTCGTTGCGCTCGGGTTGTTGGCCGAATCGCATCTCCGTGGCATTGGTCTCGTTGGAGAGATCGCTGTCATTGTAGCCTGCCGGGCCAGGACAGGTTGAAGGGGCCCCTGTCCGTCAAACCCTGAATTATCACCCAATGAAACATGCGCCTGACGAGGGTATGCGAATCCTTTGAACTTACATACCCCTGAATACATAGAGAGGGTTCAAAGGGGGGTACGCGCTGCTTTCTTGTTGGGTTCATGGCCATGGAGTCAGGCCATGACTCCATGGCCTGTTGAAAGGGCGCTTCAACCACCAAGTCACAGGAATACAGGAATGTGATATCCAATCGCTCTCCGTGTGAGAAAGCTACATTTATAATGCGGGGCTGTCTGATGAGCTCAAGATGCGATCGCCAGTGCTTGACATAGATCAGCTGCGTAGCCCGTCCACTGGCAGGGTAAAAAGTGACCTCCTCCGCTTCTGCGTCCGTACAGAGTTGCAGCAAAAGCAAGCAGCTCAACCGCCTCTGCGAGGCCCCTCATGAGCTTGAGCTTGATGCCCGCCGAAGGCGAGGGCGTTACGCCATTCAGCTCCGCTCGGCAACCGTCTCGAGGTAGTGCACCACATCCCACCATGCATGCGTCTGTCGCTTTTACATAGGCGCATATCCCTTCGGGTGGCAGCTATCCCGGGTTCCTCATGTGTTCCCTTTAAACATCACCCCAAAGAGACTCAAACAACATCGCATCGGCAAGCAAGAGGTGATGGTCAAACCACCGCAAATATGCGGACCAATGATTGTTCTAGTCTTCCAGGTTGCCATTCAAAGGGCAGGCACTCGTCTAAACATACATTTTCAAAGGGGTCACTGCATCCCCCAGATGAAGTGTTGATCAATTGAGTGGAATCAAAGAAGCAACTTGCCCCTCCTCATTTTGGGAGGTCCTAACGAGCTGGGAAACAGAGACAAAGACTCCCGCTTCCATGAAAAGAGTGAACCTGGGTCGGGGCTATATTATATAGTTTAAATATACATCAAACTATACTATCGTTTGAACAACCTCCTTTTGGCTAGCATTCAAAGGGGGCCAAGGGTCTGGCTGTAAAAACCGACTGGGCCCCATCCTAGAACGAGCCCATGTTGGCTTTTTTTTTCCGGGGGTGGACTCATCTTGGTGGAAACAAACTTCAGCACTTGAGGCTCAAGAAAAGCTGGAACTTGTGAGGTGGGGTTGTTTCCACCGGGGGTACCCAAAGAATGGGGCCCGGATTCACTTTGGTGTCTCTGTGAAATACGCCAATAACGGCACCAATCCCTAATCAAGACCCCCCTCGCAAATGGGTTCTAACAAATAGGCTATAGGATGCGACACACGGGATTCTCTTTTGGTGCAAGCTGGATATTGGAACCTGTTTAGCAACCCAAAAGCGCGTATTCCAGGCATGCACCTGACCCGTTCAGTTGGCGGACTTTCGGCGAACCATTTGTTTTTTTCTGAGTTGACTCCAAGCAGGCGAAACAGCAGCCACCACTTGACTTTCGATTTCCATTGTTCTTCTTGCTGTCCGTTTCTCTGTTGCCCAGTGACCGTGGTCGAAAAGCGGAATCTTTTTTGCAGTTGACCTGGTCCCAAACCCAAAACGAACAAATAAAAGCTGAATCCACTAAACTGGGGTTTGGTGTCCACAATCCCCCGGTCCAAATGGGGCTATCTTTTTGGAAGGGTGCATGTACGCCCTTTTGGGGTGGGAAAGGAAAACCAAAAAGGAGATCGTTGGCATTTCGAGGGGTCCCCCACTTCAACACACCTCGGTGTTAAAGAAGGAGTCTGGACAAATGCTTCACAATTACCAGGCCCCCCCCAAGCCTGGCAAATGGTCGGTTGAGAGACCTCCTGCTTTTTTGGGGGGGGCCATTTGCCAGCCGTTGAGGGGGTGCTGGTGCTTATCCCTTTTTGCATCAATGGCTCAGCTGTTCAGTGACCCTGGAAAAAAGGGAACCCTTTTTGGGGAAGACCATTTTTTGTGGGGCAGCCACCAGAATAAAAGGGGAAAAGGGTGCCACTGAACAACTGAGATGGACTCAGCGCCCACACACAAAAACCACCTACCGATCCATGAGCCCCGGGCCCTCCAACTCCTCGCGCAGCACCTGGCGCCAGGTCCGAGCCGTTGAACGACCCGTTGAAACCAACAAGCTGGTGGGGTTCAGCCCCCAGTTTGGGTGACCTGGCTGTGGCTCAGAAACAGGTACCCAACATGGAAGCCTGGTAAGTGGGAACGTGGACTAAAACTCACGGTGCGGTGGTCTAATTTTGACCCATGCCCACCTTTGGCCGACCTTTTTTTTCTTCTTCTGGCCCCCAAAAAACGCCAGGAGGTCACTTGGCGGACCCTTCACCCTGCGACGTGTCGAGTCCCGGGTTCGCTTCGGCCGCGCTTCCGGGTCCCGGGCCCTTGCCATGGGATCGGCACCTGCGACGCGAAACCAGCAGGGGCCGACGTCGACCAGGAGTGAAAGGGAAACCAGAGGGAAACACCCCAGGTGATAGAGTTGGATCAAAGGCCCAGGTGATAGAGTTGGATCAAAGTCAACACTTCCCAGGTGATAAAGATCAAGGGCCCTGGAAGTCTTTGAATGGAGTTGTGCTTGAAGACCAAGTTTGTGAGAGTTCATTGACTCAAAATTGGCAGTTATTTAGCATGGTAAGGTCGAATGAGACCTCGGCTGGGAGGGAGTTTGCCTCAACGGTTGGCCGGGAAGCCCGGAAAACAACAAGTAATAGCTAGCTCCAGCGAGGTTCACTAGCCCGCGGTGTGCAGGCCAGGGATTTCATGGCTCGCCTTACCCCAAGGCAAACTGAACCAACCCGCGGTGGAGTGCCCCATTGAAGCAGATTCTGGCCACTTTTTGGGGGGGTACCCCTCCTGTATGAATCCAGCAGGTTGAGGAAATCCGGATTTTACGATTGGGGTGCCCCGAAATGGGACAATCACCGCCCGCTTGTGGCTTATCAGGAGATGCCGACAAAACACAAGCACTTGTTAGACACAAGCACTTGTTAAAGTTCCTCCTTTCGGAAACATCCCAAGGAAGATGGCTTCCACCTTTTTCTATTATTCCAAACTCAAAAATAACCGAAGGTCATCGCTGCCGAGCTTCCCCACAAGCTCGCCATCACATTGGCAGATTTATCACACAGATTCCCTCCTTTTACCCCCGAATCCGCAAGCTCTTCTGCCCAGATCTATCTAAGAACCACTGCAATAGTGAGCTCGCTAGCGACCGGCTGAGTCATGGGCCCGCAAACTCAATCGACTGGCGGCCGGATCGAACATTGCCTAAACCAACCAAATGGGACACATTGGGCCTCTACGCGTGTAGGGGGGCCAAGAACTTTGCCAAGGCAGTCTCAAATGGAGTGTCCATAAACTCACTGACTGACGATCGACGTCTTAGCCACCAACTTTGATTGCCGCTGCCGCCGTCCGTGGAGTTGTCCAGCATCCTGCGATGTTGTTTCGGTCCCTAAAGTGGCTTCGCAGGGGTTCCCTCAAATGAAAGACTGGTCTTTGAAGGAAGAACTTGGGACAAAGAAACCACAATGCAAAGAGTGCATTTGCAGCCTGCAATTTGGGCACGAAAGGCCGGCTTCCTTAGGCCAACCATCAAACCCACAGTGAAAACCGTCGGGTTCCCCATACTTCCCCAGGCTGTAAGCATGACCGTTGGGGTTCCCAGGTTCAATTGACTTGGTTTTTCGAGGTATAACGCAGCCTCAGTCCAGATCACAGTAAACATAGCTTGAGCATCTTTAGGTCACACGGAAGCTCCACTCTCCCTTTGCCATGGTGGACGTGGCTTCCCAGCATCAACTCCATAGTGAGACATAAAGACAAAGACAAACATACCTAGTATCCCAAAAAGAGGCGACCCCTCAAATCTGAGGGTTTCTTCTGGTTTCCCTTCGAAGCCATCTGAAACAAAGTGCACAATTTTGCGATATGCCCAGTTGACTCTCCGACAAAAGGTGCGTGTGTAGGCCGGCTCAGTTCGCCCTTCCAAGATCCTATGGGTGTCATGGGCGGTTTGTTGTTCAAATAGTACGGTACGCCGCGCCCCCAAAAAGACCACGACATAACGAAAAGAGGACTGTCAGTCGGCGTCCATATGGACACAGGACATCTCACTCCAGGGGCCCATCTGTGCAGGGCGCATCCAGTCTGCTTTCCTTCGGTTTGGATTTGTACGGCATCTCCAGGAAAAAGACAAACACATGCACGTGCAAACACCGGCCACCTCCAGGATTCATGTTTTCCCTTCGGATTTCAGCATAGGGAGCCTCGATTGCAGAGGTTTACTTTTCCTACACGGAAAAGCTGCCGCGTCCTGGGAATCCTTGGCATAGCTGGTGCTTCCTGCAACTGAGACACCCAAAGCAATCGCTGGGCGAAGATCTGAGGGCAAATCATATCTGCAGATTCTGTTTCAGATTTAGTGCACCCTAAAACATACATCTGGAAAACACTGGAAAGATCAGCTTCAGATATGGTCTCAAGTTTGGTCTAATAATTGATCTGGAGGAGACCCCAGTTTGCTTCTGGGATGCAACAACCTTCTGCTGTACTTAAGGGCCCCTATGGAAACAATTTTCCCTGCCAAGGTTGTTCATCCAATGTCTTGGGCGAGCAAACTTGGCCTCCATTCGCCTACTCGGTTGTTGCCAGCACAACAGAATTATTACAAATTGCGGTTGTTGCAAGTCATGACCTGCGTCCGCTTCAAGGCAATCGGACTTTTCGTGTTTGAACCTTTCGTAGATGGTTCCTTTTCGTGGCGCCCCCGAAAATTGGCGGCGTCCCTTCGACTTCTCCTTCGGCTTCTCCTCAACACCTTCTCATCAAGGCTACCAACCCCGAAACACGCCAAATTGGAAGTGTCGAACATTTCCCCGAAGCAGCCCCAAAGCACACAAACCGATTACAGTTTCCAAATATGTTGCAGGCCTTGCTACCGTGAAAGCCGGAGTTTACAAACTCCAACAAATGCGTGTTTGCCTTTTGGTTTCCCTGTCAAAGTCAATACTATCCAAAGGGGGTCCATATTGAGACACACCCACATAGCCCTTCCCATGATTGTCATGAAACCAGGAAGTAAAATCACCCAACCTTGCCAAAAGCTGCACTCAGGCGCTCAGGTGACGAAGATCGGACAAACATCGTTCGGCAATTTTCTTTGTCCAGATCTGGGGTACAGAGAAAAAAGTATATTTGCAGAGACAACCGTAAACAAAACAAACACATATATTTGCAGGGCTTGCTTCATAGTTGGAGAGACCAAAGGGAAAAACAAATAGCATATATAGAAGAGTTCGCTCCACCCTAAGTTACAGAATTCGTTTTGGAGGAGTCCCCAGCTTTGGGCGTTTTAGGTCCAAACCGCCAACTTTGGGGTGGGTGTCCCTTTGAATTCCGGCAGAAACCACCGCAAGGCCACAGTCAAAAGGATACGCACGCGTCATGTCAACGCGGTTGGCAGATCCTCGAACTGGGCAAAGTCCCCTAGAGCTCATGATTTTGGCCTATACAAAAAGGAGAGACAAATCAACGAGTGAATCATGTAGTGTAGTGAACGTCAGGTTTGACTACCTCAGATCTTGCCCGCAAGCAAAATGGCACGTTTGGATTCTGAAGCATATTACGCGTGCCGAACATGTCAAATAAGATCAAATGGATGCCAAGAGAGCCCCCATACGTAGATCAGCCCTTTGAGACATGCACCCTTTCTTGTGATTGATTGAAACCATGTTCAAAAACGACCCCAGGAATACAAGAGCCCCATTTGATCTTTGACTCTTCAGGTAATTCTCTTGCTCTGCTTCCCTCGAACCCTCGCGCAAATGAAAGGCCTCAATGAGGACGATGGCTCCCGGGCCGGCCTGAAGGGAAAGTTCGGGACTTGCTTGGATGGATTTGGATGGTCAGATAAAGAAAGTTACAACCAAAGTTATAAGTCAAACCAACCCTTGTCCCACTGAACAAACCCTGATTACAACCTACTAAGTTGCTTGAACATCCAAGCAAAGGTCACAATACTGGAGTTGGATGGGGTTGGCGAAAATGTTGATAAGGTTGCAGCTAAACGTAACTGGATACGGCTGATAAACTGAATCCGCGCAGTTTGTAAGTGGTTTATCCATCATCTTTCATTAATCCATCCCATCTAGTGCAGGGCTTGTCCATCCATGAGCTTGTGCCCCAACCAAGAAACATAATATGCTTTGATTGACTAAATCTAGTGAACCTTGACACGTACAATCATTTCAAAAGAAACCCCAGTCCTCCCCTTCCCATACCTGGCCTTAAAAAAGACCTCTTTAGCGCGATACTTGGGAAAACAAAGGGAGGAGAGGGAGGGCATTAGGGTGAAGGTGAACCCTATAACACACGTGTTGCACAGTTTCACGAAAGGTGTTCCGGCTTGCAAGCTTACCTCAAAGTGGCATTGCCACAAGGCGAAGCTTAAAACCAACGGAACTGAGGTCAGGGCGTCAAAAAGTGGCAGCCTAAAACCACATGTGGGGCTCCCATGGGCTCCCTCTATGTCTCAGCATCAATTTTGAGACATACCAACAATTCCCCTCAAACATATCTTTCCAACCGTTGGTACGGTAGCAAAAAACAATGCTTTGACACCCCGCACTAAACATGAACAGAACCAAAAACCCAACAACATGCCAACAACAGTGAAGATCAGGAATCACTTTTGTCCGTCTCCGTTAAGAATCACTTGGGGCATTGAAAAGAGCTGAAACATTTGTTTGGGGCGCTTTCCCGCTTTCCATTGTTTCCCTCAGGTACGACCATTGATCACCATCGCGGGGCATCCGTACGTTGAAGGCTGTTGACTACTTGGGTTACAAGCTTTGGTTAAAAAAACAGCCCGGTCCGGTTGCTGACCAAGCTTCAACAGACAGCCTTTTCCGGTGCTGATTTTCAAACACCCCCCTTTGGCGCCACGAACAACTTACAAACATGTTTACCAGACAATGCCCTTTTCCAAATAAGCAAATGGGAGCAATGATGCCAGGTAAGCGCCCAAAACTGCTTGAGTGTTGGTTCTACCCTCAAAAAGGACGCAGCCATATTGTAGCCCTTCCTGTGGTTGCCATAGGGGGGGGGAACCATCGACTAAACGTGCTAAAAGAGGCAAACGACCTAATCTGTGTGCAGATGTATCCCGTTTCCCTGCCGAAGACGAACAGGAGGTCTGAAAGAGAATCGAGTTGAGGTCTGTTAAACCCTTCGGGGTAGTGTTGAAGCCGGACCAACTCACCTGGCGGATTCGTAGGTTAGCCGGAAACAAAGCAAGATTGAACGTTTTGGGCCTGACTGAAATGTTGAACCAAAAGGTTCCCGCTTGCAAGCTAAACAGGTAAGCTAAAGCAATAATTAAAACATCCCCACCCCTAAAGCTTATGGAACGGGCATGCCCACGATAGCACCCCTAGGTCAGTTTTCCATGGGAAGCTACGTGCTTCCCAGCTAGGGGAGCCAGAGCCCACGCTTCCGAATTCGCTTCCATCGGCTCACTGCGCTGTGGCCTGCACTGGCACGTCGAATTGGAGCTGCAAGCTAGTGGTCATGGGCACCTGGCACTCGCGGATTCGCAGAACGGGAATGCGTGATGGGTTCAATCTGGGGGGAGGGGTTGGTGACACTACGTTTGAGAGTGGTGATGTGAAAATGAAATAATTGCGTTATGTGTGTCCAACTTAGACTGTCACTCTGCAATTTGTGTGTGCCATGCAAACAATGAATACAAATTACTTGGCAGCGCTTTCAATAGTCCTGCTCCGGTAAAAGCCATCCTCAACAGAAAAAATAAATATAAAACATATTTTGCAACTCCATCGCCACAACCTTCTCTTTGCAGCATGCGCTCGCACAGGCTGGCTTGCAGCGTTGAATCTGCGTTAAATGAAATCAGTCACGATATATCTGTTCGCCTTTGACAATTGCGCTTGGGACGTCCGTCCTGGGACCAACGTGCGGAACCTATCAACAAGCTCCATGGGTGTTCGCCGGTCTTTCGCAAATCTTTCGCGCAAGTTGCTTCAAAATAGCCCAGCCAACCTTTTGGTTTGCACCATGCACAAGGGAACCGGGGTTGCGGGGTTGTAAGTAAAGCTGATGCACAAGGGAGCGGGGTCTGAAAATATTCAAGTGCACAGACACCTCCAAAAAGCCGATGCGGATCTTTTCGCAAACTCCATGGCCGGAGGGACTTGAACCAAATTAAAGTAGGAATACTCTGTAGTTTGTTGCTACATTTTGCCAACAAAGATCAAGGAAGCCAAAAGATAGGACTGGGCTGGCCATACTTTCTACGAATAAGGTGCTTCAAAGATGCCTGTGGGCCGTCGGAAGAAATACGCCCGCTTTGGTTGATCAGTGGCGCTCCCTTGCAGGTTGACATGGAACCGAAGCATTGCACATGTATCTGGGCTTTTCCCACAAGAAATGCTTGTCCGGCCACGTAAGCTGACTGTTTCTTGCTCACCATATGCCCCCCAAACCAGTCCTTTCTTATCCGCTTTGAACATCACCCCACCAAACGGAAACTCACCTTAAACGGGCCACAAAGGTAATGGTTAGAGGGGGAAATATACCTTTGGCACATTGGAGAAGTGCCTAACTTTTCAGAAACTCTCATTTGGGTACATTTTACTTGGGATAGACGGGTACACTTCTAGAGGGTTGGAAGCACACACACACACACACACACGATGTTTAGCAAAGTATCCTTCGGGCGACCCCCTTTTCGGGGTTCATGTTATTGGGGAATTTCACCCATTTCAGAGCGAACCCGCATCACTTAACCAGCATTTGCTCGTGCTTCACGCTTTGCTTTTTTGGGGGGCGGGCCTCCTTTCAAAAACCGAACCAGGTTTGCTCACATGCCCAAGATCCATCTCTAACCCCTTCGCACCTTTGAGGTCACCCCCTGAGAAACCACCTTGTTCTGGGGGCAGCGGCTCGACTCCCCCGATCAAATCGCGCGGAAACTCAGCGCCTCGGTGGCCCCGTCTGATGGCCAGGTTGCCAGCAGCTGGAGCTCGCGGTCGCTGTACTGGTCCTAGGGGCATTTGCCATTTGGGCGTGGGTCAAAATGAAACCACCAGGGGACCGCAGGTTTTAGTCCATGTTTCCATTCACCAGGGCTCCATTTCGGGTACCTTTTTTGACCCACAGCCATTTCAGACTTGGGGTGTTACACCAGGATTTACCACAGGCTTAGATGGCGGTTCCACATGGGTTTCACATGGGTTTTACATGGGCCTTACATGGGTTCTGCATGGGTTTTACACGGGCTTTCATGGGTTTTACATGGGCCTCAAAACTGCAACAACCTCAAACATTTGATGCCCGCGACAGAACCTGGGAAGGCTAACACAAAGTCGACCCCACTTTCTGGCACATGGGTCATTCACCTCTTTGCTCTTTGGCTTTCGTAAACTGGGGAAACCCTGCTCATTCGCTCACCCCAAAGCGACAGTCAGTTAAGACATGTTACATGTTAAAACCAAGAGTGATCTGGGCAAGTTATGACAAATTTTGCTGATGGCAACGGTTTCCTCTTGGTTTCCCTTTGCCAATCAAACGGGGCATTTGAGGCCGAGACAAGTTGAGGCTTCACTCTTCTTGTACAGCAGCCGATTTGTCGATGTACCCTTTAAGGGAACACATTGGGGCAAGGCCTTAAAATAGGAGACCCCCACAATTTGTGCCTCTCTCTTCCCTTCCCCTTTAAACCAGCCCCAAACAAAAAGCGACAACAAGTGACAAACCCATTTGGCAAACCAAAAAAATCGACGCCCGACTCGCTGCGGAGAATTTCCGTTCGCCTTGGCCAAAGCCACCCGGAAGACCAGCTCGCCGTCGCCCGGCTCCGCGGGGTTGCCGGCGAGGTCGAAGAAGAGCTGGGCGTTCAGCTCCAGCCTGGACTCAACCAGCTCCAAAATATGTCGAGGGGCTGATGCCCCGTTCTCTTGCCAAAAACCAGCCGTCTTCCCTGGGATTCCGGAGGTTTTCTGGAAAGAAGGATCCCTGGAAAGAACAAACAAGGTACCCCTAGAATATGTGCTCAAAGCTGTCTGAAATCATGGATGGGAACTCCAGCCTTGGCACCCAAAGAAACTGTGAAAAAAACTTGCTTGGGCGGGAACTTCCCTCTTACTAGGGATGCTTCCGGATGGAGATACCCAGCCTCTTGCTGAAGGGGTTGCTCCAAAGACTTTATGGGTATCCCTCCTTTGTCCTTCCGGAGAATTCAGAACGAGTAAGACATGTTGTAGGAAAACAGAGGTTCCCTACGGCAAACACCCAAAATCTACCGCATACTTTGCGGGCGGTCGACTTGCACTGTTTGGGGTGTCCCTTCAAGGGACAGGGATGGGTTCTAGGGATGCTCCCAGGATCAAACCAAATTAGAGCAACCCTGCAATGTTTCGAGGACTCCAGTTGACAAAAACAAACACACACATGCATCCCTTCATGGTTATGAAAACAGGCCCCCTTTCTTTGATCAAATACCAAATGGACTCGCAACAAAAGAAGAATCCCAGTACTCAGGATGGCTTCTAAACAGTTCAAGTAGTTGAACTGTCTAAGTGAATCATCTGCTGAGTGTTAGTACTTCATGCAATCGAATGACTCCACAAAAAACATCTATTCATTCGACTTCAATTTGCAGTAAGCTAGAATTTGGAGCCTGAGCAACCTTTCCCACCAAGCTTGCGCGAAGCCAGTTGACACCTTCGCAGCCTGTCAAGGCAAGCCTGCCCCTTTCAAGACCCTCCCGAACAGGGAAGACCTTATTTGGCCTTATTTGTTTAGCCTTGTTCCCCCACCACCCTATAGGGTTGCAAAAGGGTGCCACTGCGAAACTGGGCCCTTAGACCAAAAGCTCACAAGCACCGTCCTGAGTTGCTGTCAACCTGCGCCGCCTTAAGCAGCCCGGATTCCAGCATTCTTCAAACACCGCACCCAGAGACAACTCACTCACTGGTAATACTTGAAACGGAACCCTGGCCGTGCCCTGCAACTGGGTTTTGTTTCTACTCACGTGCTTGGGTATGAAAATCGCCACCTGTACATTGCAGAGGTCCTTACACGTCCCCATGAAAAAACAAACTATGGCATAACCCATTCAATCCCAACAGAAGGGACATAGAAGGACCCCTGCAGTGCCTATCTGATATCTACGTGCTGAAAATCGGGGCAGCTGTACATTCGGCTCATGCGAACCACTTGTCCTTTGGCAGTGCCTGCCAGGGCCCAAGGCGATTCAAGCACTTGCTTGAGCGGGTGACCCACGTATAGTATTGTGACGAAACCCCCAATGTCCTCCTCAAACCAATAGGAATACTATCTCTACACAAAATGTGTCAGTTACTGACGTGTAAAAAAAAAAAAAAAAAAACGCTCCTTCGTTTCAACATCTACCTTACGGCTCTGCCATGCTCCCCGCAAAAGGGGGGAGCACAATCTGGCTGCTCCTCTAGGGGTAACTTCCCCAATCCTTCTCTCCAAGCCCAACACCCAGCGAGGCAATGGCTGTTCAGCAAAAATAACGATGGTTGAAAATAATGGGAAGTCAACCCCTACTGCCCAAACCCTGCCCTTGGCCCAAAGCTGCGACACCAAAACTAATATTGCCACTCAGGTCCATATTTAGTCTACCCAAAAATATACCCATGATTTTGTTGGAGACTCCAGTGCTGAGTGCATTTGCGGAAATAAGCTCAGGTGACATCCCCAACAGCATGCGGGGCTCCTTTTAGTGCTCGCACCACCCCGCAGACCTCGCAGAACCTCGTGGAACCCTGGCGGAACCCTGGTGGATCCCTGGTGGAACCCTGATCTCGTGGAACCTTACCTCAGGGCCGCCCCGGACCACCTCGGCGCCTATCTGGGCTGAGACCCCAAAGCTTCCAGCTGTTGGGGAAGAACTGATACTGTTTTGCCACAGAAATGCTGTTGTGTCTTCCCGAGTTTAAAGTCCCTTGTCAGCTTCGGGGGACCCGGGAGGCTTACATTGCCAGGGATGCGAGTTGAGACCAATATTCATATTCAGATTAAGGCCCTAGCAAGGGCAGCTATTGCAGCCTGGTGACTATTGGTGCTAATAGTTGCTAATAGTGACTCTTAGGGGCCTCATTGACCTGTGGGCCAGACCCCACTTTGGCTCTGAATCTGCGTTGGACATTGCGCTGTCCAACGCCTGCGCGTTCTCATCCTCGATGATCTCCACCACTCGGTTCGTTGCCTTGGAATCGAAGAGCGCCGCAATGCTCACATCCGCCACCAAATCCCGAGAGACCTCCCCGCTGTTCAGGGTGTCCTCCTGGAGCGCGATTCGTCGACAGTTCCGATACAAGCAGCACAAGAGGTCCAGGTGAGTTCACCTACCACATACCTTGGGGCCAAAAAGTGATTT